TTCATAATGCCAATTTCTCGGGAAAAGGTCCAATTATCAGGATCTAAAAGTTATCAATTCTGCTATGATTTTTTTCCATTCAGCCACACCCAAAATGACCATTCACAATACCTGAAACTTTGTTTTTTTTCTATATGAATCCAAGATAGCTGCCCTCCAACACACTGGGTCTTCAAGTACAAGGACTAAATTAAAATGTGCTTACGTAATTTATTTTTAAAGTAATTTAAAATACAGTGTAAACATACATTAAAGATACTGTGGCAATTTAGATATGGAATAACATGAAGTTATTTACATGTTTGTATATGTATGCGTGCATATATATACATGAAGTGCAGATAAATACAAGACACTACAAAATAAACAAAAAATTCAATATGATAATTTACTGACAATCATTTTCATCATATTTATTACTTAATTTGTTATGTTAATGGCTGCAAATTCCTAATACTGAAATATGTCATCTAAATATTTAGCTTTTATATAAACTATAGTACCTCAAATTTAACAGTATATAAATAGGATTCAAATTAAAAACCAAAACAAAACAAAACAAAAAAGAACAGTCGTCTTCCCTGCCACACTCCTTATTTATTTGTAAAGGCTTCAGCTCAGAGTTCAAAAAGACTCTTGAAATCGCAGCCCTCAATATGTGATATCTCAGCTTTTAAGCATACATCATGACTGAAGATACAAAGGCAGATATAAAATCTCTAACCGCCATATAAAAAACAATGCATAGTTTTAATCTAAGAGGCAATGGATTCAAGTCCAGGTTGGGCTCTGGAAGGGTAAAGACCATGGGAAACACTGCCAAGAGATGGCAAAAGGGGAGAAAGTGATCATCTAATTAAGGTGGGCTAGGCACTCTCCCCAACACTGAAGGTCCTCACGTGGCCCTGAACATGACCATCGTGGATGATGGAGGATATTTATGTTTGTGATAACCGTAAATGTCCCTGCCTTTTGAGACTCCTCAGCAAGCACACAGACTCCATTTTCTCCCTATGGCACCAAGAAAGGAATGTTCAACCTCTGAACCTGGCATCTCTTCCATGAGTGCCAAGGAAAGAGTATAACCTGTTGGGTTCCCTAAGTCATGAAACAGCTTCTAAACTTTGGTCTAGAATATGCGCATCAGTTTTCTGTCTGTGGCTTGCTGTGAGAGCTATCAACTTATTTGATCTGTTATTTAAAACGGTGAATGCAACTGCCTGAAAAAAAGTGAAAAATCCTATTTGTTGATCTATCTGATCCTCTAAAAGTCCATGTCCTTCCTAAGTGTGAATTTGTCTGAGGTCACTACCACATAGATTTGAGGCACAGAGATACTGGTGACAAAAAGTGGATACAGTGAATATGGTTAGGAGATGTGAGACTCGTTGAGAAATACCTGAATTAAGTCTGTGGATCAATGGGAGACAGGTAGGATACAGACTATTCAGAAGTTTATTCAGTAGGCTATTCACCTGGAAAAAGTGTCTGATTTTGGAAGGTAACCAAACAAGGTAGGAGGGAAAAGTAAATAGCAATTTCTACCCTAAGTGGGAAACTTTTACTAAAGAGGAAAATAACTTCTAGACAATAATCATGTCTCTGCCTTTTTTCTTTACCAGGAGATAGGACTTTGGGGTCCAATTCCCTGATGTTAGGACATAGTAACAGCTGTAAATTACAAACGTATTGTAAAACCAAAGAATAAAATCTCTTCCTAAATTGGTCCACCTCCTCCAACTTTAGTCAACAGAGTACAAATCAAGATGGGGTTCTAAATAATTAAGGCATCCCAAGTACATAATTGGGGGGCATACTGAAAATTGAAGTTGTTTGAAGAAAGGCTCTGAGGGACTCTTCTAAATCAGCATCCATGTGAATGATATCCTCTGCACATCGGACACGGACAGATCTGAAGATGAGGCTGAGAGTGAAGAGGTCGGCAGGTGCTGTCTCCACAGGACTGCAGGGCCAGATTTAGTTTCCTGACATCATGGTGGATTTTTAGGAGGCACGCCACAATATGTAAAATCAATTTTCACAGAATAGGAATAAACTCCAAATCATTATGTCTCTTTTCCTACTTTTGCTATTTGAGAACCTGGATAGTTTGGGATTGTAAGGTGCATTTAAAAAAAAATCTCCACCCTTCCTGAAAGAGCCATCAAATAAATGAGCCACTGTTGGGAAGCCTGATTATGCTCATTCACAGTGCAAGGCACAGAGAGCCAACACAACTGGTAAAACCACTCTCGTCTAACAAGGAGAAACGGCACTTTCTCATACTTCACAGACTTTAGAGGAATACAAAGATTATTTCACTGCTCAGACATTTACACGCAACAGAAAAAGCCTTCAGTTAACTGACTAGTTCCTATAAGTTGGCGGCACTACAGCACAACAAAAGTCACCTGTAATATAAGTAAAAGTTTTGTACTCGAGGATTTTTTCACATAACAGATGAGATGATTGACTTGGACTCATCAATCTCACTCTCATACTGATTATACTGTCAGCAGTGATTAGGGTACCCACGTTGTGTGTTTCAAAGGTGTGCATACGGCAGTTCTAACATATCTTTACTATGTCTCTAAAAAGCTAAGGTTTCATTATTGAAACGCTGTTATAATTTCAAATGTGATCCTCTTCTAGTGACTGGCATTACCTTCTTGTGTAATTAATATTCCATGTGATTTAGAGCACATATCCTGATTTTCTCAATGCTCATAAATACTTTTTCTGTTGGAAACATTTCTAGGGAAAAGCAGCTTCAGTCTATTCCTAGCATATGGCCACGACTTGCTTCCACACATCATCAATATGAAGAAAAAAGACTATCCTCACAAATATGTAAGATTAAAACTTCAAACAAAAGCACAATTTGAACAAGCATTTTTGTAGTTTGTTTCAAAACAGGGACCGTATCAAGTACTGCCACAATATATGCCTCACAAAGAGAAAGGAGAGGGGCCTCACGCCCATGTCTTTAACAGCAAATGCTTTAATTACTCACTGAGCATCTGTGGAATTAGCTCACAGACAACTCAGAGGCAGGAGCACTCTGGCCTGTGTTAAAATAAAATGAAGGTTGAGATTTCTCTATGCAGCAGCAAGTGAAGTAGGACTCTGAATCACTTTTTGGAGTCAAGTTGGTCTTTGAAAGAAAATCAATTTGCCTTAAGAGGCTCTAATTTAGTAGGATGCCAGATGCTTGCAAGGGTGCTTTAACTGAGGGTGTTTTAGACTAAGGGACTGGTCTACTAGAGAGATTACCTCTGTTCCAGCAGAGGGTAGTCAGGGTGTCACTAATGCAATTATTATTACTAATGGCCACCAAGGATCCAGAGACCAAGAAGTTCTAGCAACACAAAATTATAGTGTAAAAAAGTCAACACTAGCAGGTTAAAAAAAAAGGAGACAAATGTATCCGATTTTTTCATTATATTACTAATTTTTACAACATTAAATATTTTTTATTCCTTTATTTCAATGCACTGATATTTCTTTCTGGCTGTGATTCTGCCTACTGTTATTCTCTTTACCTTTAAATCCTAATCCATTATTCCATTTTTAATTTTAAAAGCATAAATGCTCCAAGGCATAGTTGTATATGTGTGTGTGTATAATTTAACCTATTGACTCTAGAAACATTAATTTAAAGTAGAAGAGGTTGAGATTACAGATCATAATATCACGTAAAAAGAACTGTCTACAGTCAATACCTGAGTGCCTGTACAGTGAAGAACTCTGAAGTAAGAAGTAAAATACTGTGGCCAAGGGGGCCAGTGCTGTGGCAGTAGATGGCAGGGAACCAGCTTTTTGGAATCTTGAGAAGAAAGGCTCTTTGCCATATGCAGATATGTATAGAAATAATATGAGGATTATTAAAATAGAAATAATAGAAATAATGATTGATGAATGATCAGATGTTGATGGTAAATATAAATGGACAGTAAACACCTATTTCTATGCCCTATAAATTCAGTGAAATTCCTAATAAAGGCTGTAAATTGAAAGGCATAACAGAAAATTATGTATGACTTTATTCCTGCTAGAGATGATAAAACAATTTCAATCTCTGGTTCAAAATAATTTAAGAATCTTGTACCTTTATGTTTAGATTATGTTTCAACTAAGCATAGACTTTAGAAGGCATAGTGTCCCTACCACTATCTTAAAACAGCATCTTTATCATTTGTAGGACAATTTCTCAAAAGCCAAAATTAGATATCAATAAAATACTTTGACACTTTACAGAGTTACAAGTAGAATTTAAGTTGTATGCCTGTGTACTGCACTTTTACATTGTTTTCCTATTACTGTAATTATACATTTGTGATACCCCTATAATGCTACCAGCAGAGGATATGTGCATATGATTTATCAGTATTTATATGTTAATGGAATAAAATTTCATAAAATCTCAAAGTTATAAAGATAGTTTTACACATCCTCTAAACCAGGGGTCAGCAAACCATGACCTATGAGTCAAATCTGGCCTGTCACTTGTTCATGTATGGTCCATCAGCTAAAAACATTTCTATTTTTAAATGGAATTTTAAAAGTCAAAGAAACTTAATATTTCATGACATGTGATAATCATGATTTTCAAATTTCAGTGTCCTGAAAGAAAGCAGTATTGGTACACAGCCACAGCCATTTACATGTTGTCTATGGCTGCTTTCTGCTACAATGGCAGAGTGGAGTAGTGTGATGGAGACCACATGACCTGTTAAGCCCAAAATATTTATTATCAGGCCCTTACAGAAATAGTTTGCTGAATCCTGCTCTAAACCCAGAGAAGGCATCTGGAATGCTGGATAGAATGTTTACAGTGGAATCAGTGTATGACCTAATTTGGTTTCATTTACAGACATCATATACATTACTCATTACTGCTTTTGAATATTATCATCTACTTGGTAAACAAATAAAAATAAACCTATGTTAAGAAAAACTCCTTATTTCTTTGAAATGTTTAGGACCAGCAAAACAATCATATATAAAAGCAGTATATTTTTAAGAAAAAATAATAAATGAACAATTTAAGTTACATTTTTTAGTAATGATTTCAAGGTTTCTCAGAGAACACCAGACAGTAAAGGGCAGATTTCAAAAGTCTTATAGCAGATTTCTGGTTTCCAAATTTCTGGAATATAGTACTTAACACAGTATTTGAGATTCTATAATTATTATGAAAGAGACATTGTGGAGAGTTACTTTTCCAAAAAAAAAAGGGGGGTGGGGAGGGGAGGATAAGCTACTTTAAAATATGAAACTAGCCAAAATTGAAAAGAATGGCAAACAATTTAAACATTTTTTCCCTTTCCATTAATAGGGAGCTACATAGTCTGCTGGTGTAAAACTTGGTAGAAATTGACTGTTTTCATTTTAACAGGCTGATCCCCATATCTGTGTCAGATAAAATCATAGCACTTATTATTTGTTACCATGGATACCATGAAGATACTGCCATCCACTAACAAGTATTAGAGGAAGACAACATAATTTTCTGGGACGAGTCCTGTTTTGCCTTCATAAGTTGCCTTCAACCATCCTGGTTCCACTGATGGGTACACTGGCAAAAATTAAAATACATAAAGAAATATCACTCAGTCAACATTAGCTTCAAATAATTCTATACACAAATGGGTAAAACTCCACATCAGATTGTATGCATATATACTCAAGCTGTCAAAACACTGTCACAGCACCTGTAAAGCTGGAAATGCCTTTTGCATTTATATAATCAATCACTCTCTCTCTGACACAGGGGAGGAAACTGGGGTCTAGAGGGATTTGATACATTCACTTGTACAGGTATGAGAGGCTGGACTTGATTCTGAGTTTCCTGGCTTCTACTTTAGACTCTTAACACTACACCACTCCTTCTTCCTCCTCCCTATGATGATAAACTTAAGCAAAGGGAATGGGTGTACTTACCATTAGAAAATATCGCTCCCTGTGGGAAGGAAAGCTCATGGCTGTGCTCTGCTTTACAGGAGTACATGGCTTTGGCTTGGCTGAAAGAGCAAAAGACAATTTGTGAAAACCACAATGCTCAAGTATATTTATACTTAAAACTATTCTTAAAAAAAGATACTGGGGCTTCCCTGGTGGCGCAGTGGTTGAGAGTCCACCTGCTGATGCAGGGGACACGGGTTCGTACCCCAGTCCGGGAGGATCTCACATGCCGTGGAGCGGCTGGGCCTGTGAGCCATGGCCGCTGAGCCTGCGCGTCCGGAGCCTATGCTCCGCAACGGGAGAGGCCACAACAGTGAGCGGCCCACATACCGCAAAAAAAAGAAAAGGAAATAAGGCTTAAAAAAAAAAAAAAAAAAAAAAAAAAAAAAAAAAAGATACTGGTTTTAGTTATAAGTGAAGCATGATATACATAATGTGCACCTGTAAGTGTGCATAAGTGCAGTTCACAAAGTGAACACATCTGTGCACCCAGAGAACACTGACAGCACAACCCAAAGCCTTTCTTGTGCTTCCAGGCAATGCCCCCAAGGGTAATCACCTGACTTACAACAAACAAAATAAGCTGGTTTTAAAGAACACTATTATTTGTTAGTATTCTGCTAAATAGGCTATTTTTCAGCTCTATAGAGGTTCTTAGGTACCTTAAAGCCCTATTTATTTATTTGTCACTTTAATTTCAGACTATAAGAGTTGAGATCCACAAATTAAAAGGTCTATAGGGTATGGTAAATAAACTAAGTGGGAATGAAATAAGAAAAACAATAGGATAAGTTGATGATAAATGGCAACCAACAACAGCCTCACTGTCAGGGAGACATGGGGACATGTCTTTGTAAATCAGAGCATACCCATCTCTTAAAAAGGGAACCCAGCACTCAGCTCTGACATATATTCTCATATGGGAGCTCAGGCTCCAAGTAGCCAGATACTCTGTTTTTTTAAGGGAAGCCAGAATTTCAGAGTTTTATATGAGAGCTGTTTCAAACCATCTGAGCCTCTGAGGAGGCTCCTCTGAGAAGGCTAATCAAGTCACCAATGAAGTTGTCTTTACTCTGCATCATCCAATGACCTGACTCTCACCATCTCTACCACAACCGGATTCCAAGCCAAGATCATTTCTGGCATAGCTCACTGACCGGCTTCCTAACTTCCTAAATCCTCTGGGCTTCCTCTTCTGTCCCCTTGCAATCCATTCTATATAGAGCAGCCAGAGGGTAGTTTGAAAGGTTTTGATGATCACATGATGATCACATGATTCCCCTGAAAACAACCCTGAACTGGTTCCCACCTCTGGTCTCCATACCATATACAATGTGGAACCTGCCAGAATTTCCTACATCTTTTGTACCTGCCTCTACTCACCTACTATACGTCAGTCACACCAGCCCTCTTTCACCTCCCAAAACACGCCAAACCCATCCCCACCTCAGGGCTGGCTGGGCCTCGCTCTGAGATATTTTCTTGATCTTCACTCGGCTATGGCCCTCTAGTTTATCTTAAATTTCTTGAGTTTCACTGAAGGCCAGGTCTTCCCTGACCACACACTGTAAAATAGCTGCCCAGGCAGCTCTCATATTCTCCAGTTTAAAGTCTGCATGGTATTCAGGTGCCATTGTTGATATTTGTTGTCTTCTTCCCCAGTTAGAATGTAACCTCTGTCAACAATGCCTGATGCTTAATAGTAACTCAGTAAATATTTGCTGAATTAATGAGTTAAAAAAAAAGGGAAGATGCTCTGGACTCTTTTTCTACATGATAAGTCCTCTTAAAGATTCAAGGCATCTTGTCTTTCCTCCCTGAGGTCCCAATCAATACTTCATCTGTAAAGAAGCATCAGCAGTATTTGCCATCTGAGGCCTTCAAAGTAACAGTGTTACATTATGATTACATTTCTCTATTGGAGCTAGACCCTGGGTCTTATCTCTAAACTTCCAGAATGAGGCTAGGTCACTTAAACTAGGGTTCCCAAGTGGCTACCTGAAGATGGGAAAGGTTACAGAGGAAAACTATGGCCCTGCCCCCAGAGTCTATTTCATATGAGGTGAGTCTCAGGCTGTACTTTCAGAAACTTTGCTAGAAGAGTCTGCGGTAGGCACACAATACCACCTCCCAATGAAACATGGTCTAAGGAAAAATGGTTGAAGTGGAGGCACCCAGAGAAGGACAAGATTTTACACTAAAGAACAGCCATGTGCTCACATGTGCATGTGAACGTGTGCACATGGGTGTGTTGGTTGACATGGGTTAGGGGTGCGGGGAGAGGATGCTATCAAGTTATGAAGACTTCTGAGAATCAGACTATGGTGATCTTTTATAGAAATGATACTAGTTTTTCCTGTAAATCTTCTAGTCAAATATAGACATTTGATCTGATATAATTTGGTGTAACTTGATCTAATTTGATCTGATATAATGTGATCTGATATCTGATATAATTGAGGGTTGCAGAGCCTCTCCTCTAAAACTATGTAAAGATTTTTTAAAAAGTCAAATTTTCTAGCAGCAGTGATTTTCACCAATAATCACTGTCTTATTACTTTGAATCATTAAGATAAATTAAGGCATGCATAAGGAAACAAATTCCAGAGTTATAGAAATGATTAAAATATAATAATCCTTGCAATGACATAACTTTTCATATACTTTAAAATTCAACCAAATTATTTATATTAATATTTCAGACATGAGTGTTCTTATAGTTTTTTATGGGATTGGATGGTGAGGGAACACATGCAGAATAATAACATGACTAAATAAATGGATACTGTTAAATGTGTCAAAATATACAGCACAAAATAATATCTGTCATGACTTTTCAATTACCTATGCATGTGACTAGACAGGTATAATTTTCTTCTGCTGAGCTCTGTAACTACAGGTGTTAACTCAGCAGAGAGCTTTGATGATTTAATGTAGAATTCTGTGTCAGTGAAGTTTTCTTTCCAGGTGCTAATGCTTCTTCTTTTACTGCCTTGGTGTATTGAAGAAGATGTGAAAATAACACTGTCACCTATTGAGTCTCTGTTCACAAGATTCTAATATCCTTTGAAAAGGATTTTGAGAATCCTGCTTCCTTTCGCATTGGAAAGGAAGGTAATGATGCTTGCTGCCCTGAAAGCCATTTCTTCTCTTATCATTTGGAAGATGATCTGTTCACAAGCCCTATTCCTAATTCTAAACACTGTCTAACACTCATGAGTAGACTTAAAGGTTTGACAGGGTCAGTGTGCAAAATTCTCAATACTCAATGATAAGCAAAATAAAAAATTCACCAAAATTGATATAATGTTTTCTGAAGGGCCACTTAACAATGTTAAACACACATACACACTCACTCTCTCTCACACACATTTTTTGTATGCTGAGAATTTCCCTTCTGAAGGGGGTAGGAATGCCCTATTGAGGGGAGTAGGAAGATATAGTCTAAAAGGTGCCAAAGCAGTAACATACAGAAAAACTAAAAACAAACAAATTACCACAATCTAATTATTCATCAGTAGAGGATTTAATAAACAAAATACACAAAATCCAATGAATTATTAGGTAGCTACTATGAATAATGCTATAGAAGAAAACATGACATGAAACAGTGTCAGCATGCAAGGCAAAAATTTTACAGAAAAATTAGTCATTGGCAAGACCTCCAAACTGCCTATGACAATTCACAATAAACACTTATAGGTAATGCAATAAACGCACATTTGCTTCTTAGTCACTGGTTGGAGATTTCTTAAAATTAGTTATATTACTCTTTTCTTAGGTTTTTGCCAACAAATATGGACTGTTTCCGGCTTGGATGTCTGAGTATTGGATTTCTCAATGCTAAAAATCTCTTACAGGAGCTTGTAGATTCTAAGTTGCTTGTGTCAAAGAATATTGCAACTCCATTAAAAATGGAGTGAAAAACTGAATAAAAAAGTCTTTTTAGGTTAAAATATGTATTTTATCTATTTGCCCAACAATTCCGTTGAGCATGTACTTTCTTGGGCACCATGGTGGGAACAATACCACGAACACCACCTTCATGGGTCCTTTTCTGTGTTTATCACAGAGGAGCGGTTCTCAAAGTGCGGTCAAGGGAAATCTGGAAGGAGGGGTAGGTGGGACCCTGAGAGGCACTACTCTGACAGCTAATGGAATGTGTATGAGAATCCATTTATTTCCTATTATGCCAGATATTAAGGAGATCTGCAGAAATGTAAAATCATGCCAGTTCCTGAGGTCCTGGCAGTGACCATCATTAAGGGATAGAAGCTGACTTCAGCATGGCAGGTGTACGGCAACAGCAGAGGAGGGGGATTCTGTGTGGCCCAGCTTAGGGGAAGATAAGAAACAACTCCTTTTGTCTTAAACACATTAGAAATATGGCCTTTGGAAGAGGGAAGAGATGGGAAGGCGAGACCCTGTTATGACTTGGGGGTAGGCACATAAACTGTCTGACTTGGTTGTACAGAAAAGGGTGACCCCAGCATATGCTGGGGGACTTGTGATCATCCAGGGGACTTGAGTCATATAATGAGTTTGGATTTTGAAACGAAACCTATGTATTTCCTTGGTCCATCTTCTTTACATAGAAATGAAAGCCAAGAGAAATGAACATTATGGCAGAGTCAGGCTAAAATCTACATCTCCTGATTAATGATCTAGTGCATATCTGGTGAATCCACTTAAATATCATTTGTAAAGTCTCAAGATAATGTCACTGAAAAATCACTTCTACTATTAATAATTGTTGACTGTTAACAAGAGTGAATAATCACACCTGCATCTTGCTACTGTCACCCATTAGTTATGAGCTTATTTTTGTTAAATAAATTCATAAACATTTAAAAATTTTCTGTTTAAATTTCTAATACAATAAATATTAACAGATATAACCCACATAAACAAAAGCTCCTTGGAGGTCCTCAACGATGTTTTTAGTTGTATAAGTTGTTTGAGAACCACTGTCAACAGGTAAGATTAGATGGCTGTGCAACAATATGTGGTTATCTTTAGGTGGCAAAATGAGAGGCGGCTTTTATTCACTTTTTTAGTT